GAAAGCAGACGCACAGACATGTGCCCACCTCACTTGTGAGAAGCAGTGTGACCTTTCACAGCCTCCTCTGCCAAGCAATCGTGTTTGTGCTGCTCCCTTGAGCAATTTCTTGAGAAAGGCTTCGTAGAGGTTTCACATGTGTAGCTGATGGCTCCAGCTGGATAAGGAGATTAGGGAGTGGGTTTGGCATGGTGATAACAATGTGTAAAAATGAAACAGGATGCCTTAGAAATATTATATAAGATAATTCCAGTTATCAGCCATGAAGAATGTTCTGCTTGCTTCTGATTGCTCGTATCTTCTATTTTTATCGGTTTCCTTCTGCTTGTCTTTGTGCATGTTTCCCGGTGCAGCAGGTCTGACCCAACCAACTGCAAATAAAGATAACACTGATAACTATAAACTAAGGTGGGGGGGGACTCACTTCAGACTTGCACACTCAGGCTTCCTTTGACTGTAAAGTATTTTCCAGATGGACTTCTTAATACTAGGGGTTTGATCTCTCCTACCTGCAGCTCTAAGGATTTCTGCAGAGTATAATGAAAAGCAAGCTGCTGCAGATGCAAGTTCTCCAGGAGATGGCAAATAAGAATCAGGACCTGAAGCTCTGGTGAGAGGGGAGGGAAGGTTTTGCAGTGAAGGCAAAGGATGAACTCTGAGTTTGGGTTTCCTACAGGAAGGTTGTGCGCATCAGGCTACAGATCAGTGCAGACTTGCTTCCCTGGGCTTGGTGCTGCCTGGATGTAAACCACTTCTAGACACTGCTTAGGGCACATTGGTCTGAACCTCAGCGCTGCACCCATGCTTTCTTACAGCTAGAGCTGGCATCTGGCCATCTTAAAGCTGAGCTTGGGCCACCCATAGGCTGTGTGAGACCATTCAGACGTATCCTCAGGTTAACATACTCCCACTCTGGCGAATGAGTGTGTGCTGCCAGAGAAGGGTAGCTGCTGCGTGCTGCACCCTGCTCCATCCATGGCTGGGGAGGTCTTCTCCAGTGGAGGCATTGCAGATGATGTTCCTGCAACAGCTTTGTAGGCATAGCCCAAGGAGACATGCTTTAATTTTGCTGCAGCAGTCACAGAGTTGCCCAGAGTCTGGGCAACCCAGACAGGTTTCCAGGGCAGGCAGGAAAGGGGAGAAAACAGAGACCTCATCTTCCTGTGAGTCAGTGGCCACACAGCCTAGTGAAAAACTGCCCTGGAGCTTCTTTCCCAAAGCATGAGGACTGACTTTCCCCTCCAAAAGGTACGACACAGGATCTTGTTCTCATTTGTGATGTACTACCGTTATTCATAAATATTTTGTTTGTGTGGCTTTGTACCACACAACTTCCAGGTTAGTCTGAAACTGTACAAAACAGAACCTCTCAAAATATACACAGGAGAGAACCTGCTATATTGGGCTTTGGTTTTGCTTGAGATCTTTGTGCATTACCACCACATTGCTGATAACAATGTAGGGCTTGAATTCAAAATGCCATTTGTCTATGATGCTGGCATTTCTCTATAATGTGATTTCTATTATAAAAACCATAAATAGACAGAAAGCAATACCTGTGCCTGGAGGTATGCTCATGAGGCCAACTGCCAGCAAGGCTACTGACTAGAATAAGCCACAGCTGATGAAGCCATGGACTTTAGCTATAGGGGACCAGAGAAAAATAAACTTCTGACAGTCTCCCTGGTTATTTTACATCTCCTGACTTTTAAAGTTTGAGCCAAAGGAAGTGCAACACTTGCCTAAGGAGTTTAAGATTCTTCAGTCTCCCCAACAAGCAGGAAACGGGAAAACATGAGCTCTGTGTGATGTAAATTATATGACAGGTTTGTTGCTGGCCTTTGGTCTACAGCAAAGATGATGAGCCAGTGAACTAATCACACATTTCTAGGCACTCCTTGGCCAGTAAATGCTCTTTCTTTTATTACATGAAGTCAGAGATGGGTCCCGTGTCAGCCGCCCTGCATGAGTCAGTGGTAATGACAGAGGAAGTGGGAGTGGTGTTTACAAGCCCTGGAGGATGCTCAGCAATGCAGACTGAACCTTGGCTCACACTTTACATCTCCAAACTGTTATTACATAATCCAGAGCTATATAGAAAGGGATTTCAGAGTCTTTTTCAAGGGGTACACACAAAGAGAACTGGCTGACCTGAAACCTTACAATCTCACGATAGGTACTCCTACCTCTCTTCTGGTGAGAATGATCCTTTCTAGCCTTAAAAAAATCTCAACAATAGAGCATCCCATGAGGACTAGCTACCCAACCAATGCCTTGTGCAGAGCCACTGGGCTCCAGGTGGGCACAAGACCTTCCTCTCTTGCTGGGGGACTACTAACCCACAGCTATTTCTCCCCTTTTGCCAGGCCCAGGGTAATTTCTCAGGGGGGTGGAGCAAAACCCAAGCCCTATGGGGCAGGTGCTGTTGGGGCTGCAGTGGAAAGCTGTGTGCAACGCGTGCCTGAAGGCTGCAGCTGGGATCGCTGTACCAAGAACCTGAGCCAAGGTTGCCCGGGGTATTGCAACCCCTGGGAGTTTACTTGAGGTGAGGAATTTGCTCCTGACATTTTGATATTTCTCCAGATCTAGGTGTAGCGAGAGATATCCCAGCACCCAGGCCTGGCCCTGGTTAATAGGGTGTAGAAAGGGGACGGGTGAGTGGGTGCCCATCAGGCAGTACTAGCAGTCTTTCTGTGAGCTTGTGAAACAGCTTAGGAGAAAAAAAAGACATCTGAGGCCACAAGCGCAGTTTGTAATTTGTATTTTATTTCTTTGTACAAGTGAAAAAATAGGGGAAATAGGAGAACTACAAGACTGAAAGGTAATGTGAAAGCCCATAGTGAGGGTCCACAACTACCACTGAAGGGTGATCTGTAGCCTGGTGGCACAGGAAAGTGTTACAGCTAAGGCACAGTGGTGCCCTTCTTTTTTAAATAAATAAAATGTCAGAGCTGAAAAAAAAAAGAAGTGGAAGCCAACTAATTCTGAAAATCACCCTTGTCACAAGTAACTTCACTGCAGCTATTAAAATAAGGTGGCCAGCAAGTGCCTAGACCCAAAATACCTGAAAACCTCTGTGGTGCAGGGGGAGCTGGAGGGGAAGCTTTTTTGACAAACTTAATGTTCAAAGGTTTTAATGTAATTAAAGGCCATTTTTGATGTAAGTTTAAGTGTTGTCAGCAATGCTGCATGGGCCTGCCTCTGGAGAATCAGCAAACGAGAGCATTTGCACTCTCATGAAGAGGAGGAAAATGCAAGGAATAAACAGACTGCATGGTGAGATCCCAAAAGAGCAGTGCCCTAGCTGAGAATTCAACATTTTTCCAAAGCTTGGCTCTGGTTTACATTCCTCTAGTGGAAAAAAATGACTCAGATAATTAAACTGATGGAGATTTTCCAAGCTGTTCAAGACACTAAAAACATGTATCTTGTCCTCAGCTTAATGGTAGGTAGCATATAAATACCTTTTAAAAAATACCCTGTTTTTAATTGTCCTAAAGTATTCTGGGAACACAAACACGGCTGGAATATTACTTCAGTGAAAGTGCAGTTCTAGAGACGTACCTATGCATGGAAAAGGGATATGCTGTGACTGGCATCGCTTTCCCATCCAAATACTTGGGTAGCTATCTGCCCTCGCCCTGCCTTTGAAGCGGCTGCTCTGCACAACTTTCTTTCAAGCCTTTCCCACTTCTCTTTTCTCTCCAGTAGCTAAAAATGGGATGTGTATCTGCAGAGCAGAAATTAAAACCCCCTCCTGCCCAAACCATTTCTTCTTTGATCCTGAATAAGAAAACAGGCTTCAAGCTGGTGAGTTTTCTATTTTGAGTAACACAATGTCCAGGGGAGCCGTATTCCTCCCTTTAAACAGAGACAGCTGATAGCTGCTGCCGCAGAAGCCGAGTTCGGCCTGCCATCGTGCCCCCGCAGCTCAGCAGACACGGCATGCTGAAGGAGGGAATAAGGAGGCCAAGGGCAGGAAAACCTTGCTGACACAGACCTCATGTTGGGTACTGCAAAAGATAAGCAGATATACTGAGGGAGGCTGCTCTTGGGAGCTGGAGGAACTGCTCATGGGCTTTGAGATAAACACAGACATAAGCTGCATCAGTGATTAAACATCAGACACTGTGGAACTGCTCTTCACAGAGTGGAAATTCAATTCCTAACCAAGGGCTTAGATCTTGTGCAATAAATAAGTGTGATCTAAATTCTCAAAACATGACACACTTGCGTGGCACAGACCCCACGGGCTGCTGAATCTTTGTACTGAATCTTTGTACAAGGGTCCATAACGCTGCCAGGATCAACCCCCCCATCCATGAGAAGGGAAACCAAAAGTAGCCATCAAGACTGGTCTAGGGTACCTGCTAGGAATTAGGGACAGTCACTAAAAAATTTCACTCCAAAGTCTGCCTTTTTCCACAGAAATTGTTTTCAGGAAAAAAAAAAAAAAAAAAAAGACTCTTCTAAAATTTTGTCTCAAAGAGGTGCATGATTTTGAAAGAAATAGGTAATCCACAACATTGTACAGTTTATAAAGTGACTATTCTATGCCAGACAAAAATGCAAATGAAATATTTCAGATACTTTTTCTTGGAAGAAACTGGTCTTATTGAAAATTATTGCCTAAACCATACTTGGCAGTTAACACCTCTAGCTTGTGTTTGATTCAATTTGGTTTTAATTACATCGACTACTGTAAGCGTTCACACTGGCTGTGCCAACATTTGCTTTCTTCTCTAGGTGAAGCTGATGAGCCCGTGATACTCCCTCTGTGTGACCCTCCTTGACCTTACAGCGTTTGCAACAAGGTACTGGTGGCCAGGCACTTTGGCAGCACCAGGGCCATCACAGACCCATCAGCTTCACCATCGGTTCATGGTTATTCAGCCTGACTGAAGCCAGTGCTTGCAGCTCTGCAAATGGGCAAGCAGATACCCTGGTTCATACCAGGGATGGGTTGGGTTGTCCCTGTGCAAAGCATTTCTCCCGTTCTGCTAGGAAGACTTTGCCTCGGGAATCTGCGTGCTTGGCTGCTCCACGGCCAGCTGGTTTTCAAAGACACAGCACAGCTTGTAATTTTCTATGATCTTGGCTTGAAAATACTCCCTGTCCTTCTTGTGCCAAATGTCTGTGGCAATGTAGGTGTTGTAGGGGTCGCAGGAGTCCTCCCGCCTCCTGGCGCGGATGTTGGTCAGCATGATTCCCGCTGTGAAGAAGCCAAAGAGGCCCATCAGCAGCAGCACGTAGATGATTTCCAGGTCGCTGCTGGCACTTTTGATCTGGGAAGGTGCAGAGCTATTTGTCTGCTTGAGGTAGTCTTGAAGCAGCTTGGAGAGGAGTGAACTCAGGACTGTGTCATTAGACAGCACCAACATCTTGGTTTTCTGTTCTTCACACTTCTTTCTTCCAGAACTATAGGTCACCTAAAAAAGAGTAAAAATAAGAGGCATGCCATGAGATAAAAATGCTATTCCCTCTGTCTCCCGTTACTGGCTCCCCTCCACAGCAAGAAAGCTACCTTGGGACTGGTGCAGAGGCAGGATGGCTGGACAGGCCTGGAGGGACCTCTTCACCCCCTGTGTCCAAGCCGGGCTAGCTAGGCTGAGTCCATCCCCCATAAATACTTGCCTTAGAAAACCTCCTCAGTCTTCACAGAAGATCTGTCATGGTGTGCAGCTGCTCAACCTGTTGGCCACTCACCCCGATACCTCACCCCATGCTGCTATTTAAAGCCAATGACTTCTGCCCCCAAGCCCCCACAGGCATGAGGAGTGTCTCACTCTGCAGCAACTGCTTCCGGCATTGAAGATTGTGGTCATGGCTTCCCTCGGTCCTCTCTCCTCCACTTTCAGTTTAAGGATTGAATTTGGAAACAAAATTTCTGTACCTGATCTTCAGTGAGTGGAAATCACTCGGTACCTGCAGCAAGCTCCTCCTGTCCACCCTTCTTGAGGAGCCTTGCCTTTTTTCTGCAGCTGTCATAAGGGTAGCTATACACTGTGCAAAACCGAGCAACGAAACCTCTGACAGAAATGTATCCCACACTAATTTAATTCAACTTCCCAATGGGCACTTGCCCAGGGAGTGGACATGGAGGGAGTTTATAGTAACTGCCTACCCAGCAGTGGAAAGGAAAAGCATCTCCCTTCATCCTCCCTCCTACAGGACAGCAGTCCTTCCCCAGGTAGTTCATGGCTTTTCCCTCAAAACTAAATTACTATGCAACCAGTGTTTTATTGTCTGGTTAGGAGGACTTCCACCAGCATCACGGCAGGTCAGGAACCGGGCAGGCGATGGCAGCACCAAGAAGCACCTGGACGTCCAAAGCCTCCTAGCCATGACTCTACGCCTTGACAGTCTTACACAAGAAGCTGAAGGGTCCTTTTCCCCTTTCCAATGTCAGCTGTAAATCAGTTAATAAGAGCAATTCTATCAGCCATCCCAAAGCCGCAGTAGCCAGGTAATATGACTGACAATCTCCCTACAATGCCTGCTGTAAATGTCTCAAGCAAATTAAGACAGCAGTCTCCCTCTGGTTTTGCCCTTAGCACATTTGAATGAGGTACTGTTGTTATTCAAGGTGACTTCTGTAGCAGCAATCTTGTAATCACATAAGATGGCTGTCAGTGCTTTCTACAGTTTTAAATCTGTGAGAGCAGGCCAGCATGTTAGCAAAAGCTTCTCCAGCATACTCACCTTTTGTTGGTTTTGGTTTATTTTGAAGAGTTACTATATTATAACCATTTATAATACATCAAGAATTAAATTAACCCTTGGGCAGAAAGCCACCAGAAGGCCTAGGCAGCAATTACACCCCCCTTCCATGTGGGTGACGTTAATGATGCATAAATGTTGTGCAGGGGGGAGTTTATCTGTGTACACAGCCTCCAGCTGTCGGTAATGACACTGCAGTAGATGAGATGTATCTGGAGGCTTCTTTCAATTGTCTGTGCCTTGCTATGGCATAAATGCTGTAAAAGGAGATGCTGAGACAGAGGAAGCAAGAAGAGGACACTGATCTTATGACCGGCCACCTCTCATATGAAGAGCAGTTATTTACCCAGCGTGTTCTGTGCTATCAGGTGCTATTGGCAGCCAAATGAAATACACAATTAATGCAGACATTAATATGATCAAATATATTCACATAAATTAATGTACAGTGCAACTGCATGTGCTGATTTTCAGCCTGAACCCTTTTGCCAGACCTCCCAGCTATGCCGTCATGGCTTTGGGGCCAGGTCCCACTGAAAGTCAGACGGTCAGCCCAGGAAGATTAATTAGGTGGAGAAAGCCATGTTCTCCTCACCATACAACCCTGGGGAACATGAGCGGCACCAGCCCACACCAGATGACATCAGACTGCTTCCCTTGGCAAGTGGGTGACCACCAGGAGCCCAGGCCAGGCTCCTGTGGGCTCAGACTCACCTTGCTCCAAGCAATCAGTTCCTGCGATGAGGTGCCTCGCCAGCAGGAAAAATGAGCACACATGAGAGTATGCCTTGGTATTTTGGCTTTAAATAGAGCCGAGCCTGGGGGTGGCCGAAGGAGACAAAAATCGCCGGTACAAAACAATATTCTGGTCCAATTTATTTCTTCAGTCGTATGAGTCAAAGCTAGAGGAAATAACATCTCAGCAGCTTGGGCTTAATAGTTAAAATCTATTCACATTTCACAGCTGTTTTCAGCTCCTTGAAAAAGGAAAGGAAGGGAAAACCAAGTTTAAACGTTTATCTGAGATTACTCCTCCTAAGCATGCAGAATGTGTTGACACTGTAAAATGTAAAACTGCTAACAAATTATTGTAATAACTTTAAGACAAAACAAAGAAGAATTTCACTGGATCTCTCCGCTTTTTCCGGAAAGACAGGCAATCATTTCTCATAATGATGATCAGCAGCACTGATGACACTTTGGATGCTGATGAATTGACATTTTGAGGCTGGACATCCTCAGCTTCCTCCCTGTATTCTTTTGGGAGGTTTCTAAGGGTTGCAAGATATTGCCCACTTCTGGGTTGCTTGCATGCTGGCTGGGCTGGAAGCCAGCAGGGAGCTGAGTGGCCCCATCTCCGTAACCACATCAGATGGCAATAACAGGAGAGGTTAAGGGAGGGAAGGGGCGCTTTCCTGTTCCCCAGGAAATCTCCTGAAATCTCAACAAGCCTAAAAGCCTCACCCACCACTGTGCATCTCCATTGAAATCCATACTGGGACTGGTTTAGAGCTGGAGTGCACAGGACGGGGAAGAGCCACCTGTGTCTTTGGCCTACTCCATGACCGATAATCGCATCCCACTGTCCCAAAACCTCTTTGTTTTTACCATAACCAGAGTGGTTTTCTGCTTCCCACTGCCCTCCCCAGATGACTACTGATGGGCTCCAAATCATGATCCGTCCCCTCGTGGGTCCCTCCTGAGGACCTCTGAGTAAAACTGTGCCCAGCCCAAAATCAGCATCCTGGTTTGCCCAGGTTGCATCCTGGTAAGCCAGGACCTCACCTGGGGTGGTCAGATGACCACCCATCCCACACCAACCCACAGGATAGTTTCAGTGCATGCCAGGGGAGTCACCACTCCTACCTCTCTTGGGAGGGCAAGCACTGAGCAGTGAACTGCCCATGTTAAAAATGACCTGGGGCAAAACTGAACAGTTCAGCAACTTTTTCACTGGACAGTGAATCAGAGGGAATTTCCTAAGGCTGGCAGCAGCCTGGGTCACATTCTGCTCTCAAATGCACTCTTGCCTCTCCATCTGTTACGCTAAATAGAGGTGACAGATCTCCAAAACAGAAGCAACGGGCTCAGCACAGGTTGCTTTCCAACACACAGGTTTTCCGGCAGTGCAGGTATACTGCTGGCATTGCCCAAAATCACCTTCCGTCAGCTGCCAACAACGACCTGAACCACTGCCCTCACTCACTGAGCCCTGTCCCTTTCTTCAGTCACCTGCCTCTTGCCCTCTTTTTCTCAGGCCATGGATTTCTTGTGGGAGGTGGAGAGGGACCTCCTCTGAGTGATATTTTCAATGGAGAACGTGGGTTTGGGATGGCAGGCAAGCTGCTACAGGCAGGTTTCTGGAGTTGAGGAATGGACAAAAGCAGAACTCTACGAGACAGATCTACACCATAAATGTCTTTATGTGGTCAGATGGGTATGGCCCACAGTTTCTACAGTCGGTGGAGTGAGGAAAAGCATCTGAAGGCAGCTAAACCACCCCCTCCAAAGTATTTTAAAATACTGCTTATAGATGAGCAGGTTCTTAGCAGGTGTAAAACCGTGCATTCGATCTAACTCCGGTGAAGATCCGAGGACCCTAGACAGTGTTTGCTTTCTCTGTCTGCTGGCTCTTATTGGTTGGGATGCCTTTAACCTGGACACTGCTCTATGCAAAAGTTACCCAGGGATGTACTTACAGAGGTGAGCTGTTCTTTGCAGTGGTGGCACTCCACTGGTGGAGAAAAAAACCAACCAATCCCACTACCCCCTTCCCTCATACACCTCAAAGGCCTCTGTGTAGAGGAGAATGAGTCCTACTCTGCTTATTTCCAACCACACCAGAGTCTGTTCACACTGCTCAACACCTTAACACCTCCCTCCATGCCTGCAGGAGTACTTGCTGCTCCCCCAAATCTCCGTGGCTTGGGCAAGAGCCATGGGGCACAGCTGAGGGAAAGGAGACCTCCTGGAGATGGAAAGGAGCTCTCTAGAAGGAAAAATGAAAAATAAACCTCTGGCAGCTACTTTTTTCATTGTGGTATGTTCTGTCTGGGGAGGAATGAAAACTGGCCCAGCACTGACCCTGAGAGCACCTCCTGAAGGAAAAAATTGAGAGATCTGCGGCAGAGGGCATCTATCAAGACAGCATTTTAGCAATTAACGTGGGGAATTAGGGAAGAAAGCTTTATGCCACCAAGGCCCCTTGGTTTAAAAAGGCTGCAAGTGATGGAGGGCCAAGCTCAGGGAAGACCCAGTTACTCCTGGAGCTATGAAGCAGGACACACTGTGGGACTGCAGGATGGAGGTGCATGGGTAAATGTGGATAGGCTCCACACACATCGTGTCTATCTGCCATCTCAGAAACCATCTCTGAGCATGGCTCAGGCCATGTCTCTCCAGTATGGCCCTGCTATGACAGACCTACTCCTAACCTTAATCTCCTGAACATCCAAATGCTTACAGCTATGGAGTGCTAGAGCTGCAAAATGCAAGTCCATGAGACTGCCTGTATGATGTGGAGTCTGACCCTGGTTAGGTCTGAAGAGAGGCCAGGCTGAGCACGCTGTGCCTGCCTGGGGGCTGAGGCTGTCACACCCACTGCTGCTGGGGAGGTGGGATGCCGATGGGGGTATCATTACAGAGCTGTAAATTGGCATTT